AGTGCCTAAAAGAAGAAGTGTGGTTTGTGCCCCATCGGGTGGCCAAACTGGAAATTTCAAACAAGTTCCAGCAAGGCAAGTTAACCGTAACTAATCAACATAATACCTTTGGGAAATTGAAGCCTGCAACACAAGTGTTCTCATGGGAGAGTTCTATAAATGAAAATCACAATAATGTTATGGCAATGTTTCCTTACACTTGAAAATAAGGGATATGCAGTTTATGGAAAATCCCTTCCCAAATCTTGCAACAAAAAATTAAACCATAACCATCACTTTTTACTTAAGTTAAATAAAAGCTTCACTGGGTCAGCTTTCCAGTCACAGATTAAAATATCATTTAAATTATTTGAAAGGAGACTATTAATTTAAAAGGATGACATTAATAGTAATGCTTTAAGTTCTGTCCTCTTCATATGTAAAACATAATGAAACCATAAAAATGTACAGAAATTTGGAGCTATATGGGTCCTTAGAAAATAGAGGGCTGTGAGCTTAGAAACCATCAAGTCCAGTTCTCTCACTTTACAGATGAAGAACCTAAAGCCCAGAAAGAGGAAGTGATTTCATCAGGGTCACACAGTGTGGGTGACCTGACTCCCAATGCTTACACATCTGTGCTCAAGAGACTAGCTATCTATATATGATCCTGGACAAATAAATAACTTAACCTTTCTGAGTTTCCTTGCCTGAAAAGCAAGGAGGCAGATAATCTCTCAATTCCCTTTTAACTCTAAAGTCCTGAAATTTAGATACCTCATTATTTTAGTACCTTACAAAACTACAGCGTACACTGAAAAAACCATTCCTGGTTCCTGAGAAACCAAAGCAGCACAGGACCCTAGGGAAGAAAATACAAGTCAGCAGCCTAAGGCACCAAATATATTTGCTTCTTTTGCTAATATTCTGTAAAATATTAACATGGTCATACTAGCCTATTTGGTTGAAACTGGTCTAAATTAATTTTGATTAATCAATTACAGAACTCTAAAATATACAATCACTGATACTAAATTTTAAAAAGTACTCTTTGGGGCTTCCCTGGTGGCGCAGTGGTTAAGAATCCGCCTGCCAACGCAGGGGACACGGGTTCGAGCCCTGGTCCAGGAAGATCCCACATGCTGTGGAGCAACTAAGCCCGTGCACCACAGCTACTGAGCCTGTGCTCTGGAGACCGCGAGCCACAACTACTTAAGTCTGCGTGCCTAGAGACTGTGCTCTGCAACAAGAGAAGCCACTGCAATGAGAAGCCCACACACCGCGACAAAGAGTAGCCCCCACTCACGGCAACCAGAGAAAGCCCGCATGCAGCAACAAAGACCCAACGCAGCCAAAAATAAATAAATTAAAAGAAAAAAAGTACTCTTATAAAGCTTTATTGATGTCTTATCCTATATGCCAAGATTTACACTCAAATAGATTATTGGAAACAGGGATAGTAGTCTCTTCCCATTTGTGTTTGTTGTTTGTAAAAACTATTCACAAATGGATCAAACTGATTTTCTTTATATGGTTTCTCCATGTTGCTCTATTCTTTTATGCTCTGTTATTCTGCCCATGAAGACCAAGTCTGTGAACGCCACAATTCATTTTTAAATTAGAAACTGATAATTTTCAGGATATTGATGGATCACTAACAATAATTTTAACAATCCAAAAAATGAAATCCATTAAAAGTTAAATCAAAAACCTATGGGGGTGGGCTTCCCTGGTGGCGCAGTGGTTGAGAGTCCGCCTGCCGATGCAGGGTACACGGGTTCATGCCTCGGTCCGGGAGGATCCCACATGCCGCGGAGCGGCTGGGCCCGTGAGCCATGGCCGCTGGGCCTGCGCATCCAAAGCCTGTGCTCCGTGGCGGGAGAGGCCACAGCAGTGAGAGGCCCGCATACCGCAAAAAAAGCAAACAAACAAAAAAAACCTATGAACTGGGACTTCCCTGGTAGTGCAGTGGTTAAGAATCCGCCTGCCAATGCAGGAGACACGGGTTCAAGCCCTGGTCTGGGAAGATCCCACATGCCGCGGAGGAACTGAGGCCGTGCGCCACAACTGCGGAGTCTTTTCTCTGGAGCCCGCAATCCACAACTACTGAGGGCACGTGCCTGGAGCCCGTGCTCCGCAACAAGAGAAGCCACCACAATGAAAGGCTCACGCACCGCAACGAAGCTGCACATCGCAGCTAGAGAGAGCCCGCACACAGAGGTGAAGACCCAACACAGCCACTAAATAAATTAAATTAATTTTTAAAAATACAAAAAACCTATGAACTACAACAGAACTTGAAAAGCTCTGGCCCTATATTCTTATTTTATGAAAGAGGAAAGAACCCTGGAAAGGCAAAAAGACTGTCCCCATGGCCTCATGATGAACATGTACAAGAACTAGCACTTATCGTATGACCGTGTGTACACAATAATACATATAATCAGAGATGTAAAACAACATTTTCAGCTTCAACCTAATTCTCTGCTTATTTCAAGTAAAATTTAATATAGCAAAATGACATAAAACCAAAGAAGCTGAACAGTTCATAGTCGTTCACAGCACTAGAAAGCAGCCTACACAAGAAATCAGGAGTAATACACCCAAATTTCATCACCAGTACTTGAAAAACAAATTCAAGTGTCTGGTCTACTAAGTGTTTCAAGAGCATCATCTTCACATATGAGAAACATGTTACTGCATTATGAGAAGGTTCTTTTCTCTAGCAAATGCTAACATCTTTTATGATGTCCTTTTTTCCCCAAAGTTTTAAGCTGCCAAAATTCCTAGACTCTAAAGACACTTATTTATGCCCCTTTAACTATTTTTAAAGGAACAGCACCAGCTCTTGAGAAATAGTATACAACACACAGACCCCAACCCTATAAAAAATGTCTTCAATGGCTCCAATTCACAAAGAAAAGTGCTCCTTATTAATTTTGCCTACCAAACAATGAGCTTTTCCACAACAGGAGTCACATAGTAGGGACCTCTGCAGAATAAAATTTCAACAGTTAATGAATTTTTCAAAAAATAATTTCTAATTGGCCTAGGAAAGATAATGCAGTCACACATATGAAATGTGTTCCTCTCCTCTCTGACCAAACTAAAGTAACCATTTAGGACTAATGTCCAAATGGAGTATGTGAATGAAGAGTCCCAGAATGACTCCAGCCACAAAGCTGACATTATAAATCAAGAGGTAATTTCATCTTCAAACTAAATCTTATGCTTCTCCTTCCAGCCCCAGAAACTGTATTCCAGATTAATACAATTCTATGAAACAGTTAAGTGCTGTAATACTTAAAATGAATCATAGCATACAATCAGCCACTATTACTTCTCCCCAAATGAAGCATTCCATACTATATAACAAGTATAAGATGTTGCTTCAGCATGCTGTGTTCTATGAAGAACTAGCAGTGGTGCTGAAAATTACTACTAGAAAGATGAAAGACCAATACCTTCCTTTCAATAAAAACCATCATCTGGACTCTAGCCAAGGTTTTAAAACTGACCAAATGTTATTAGAAACAATAAATCAAAAACTCTACAGGCTGAAAAGCTAATCCCTTATTTCATTCTTACAAAATGTAGCCACAAAACACTACAAGAAAATTAAGTGAAAAGAAAGCATTCATAATTTTAGGCCTTTCACTTCTGGCAATACTCAAATACTGTATGTTACAAGGTGAATTTATTTTACAATCTTCAAGGTTGTTTAACCTACTTACATCCCTTTCCTTTTCTTCAATTATTACAACTGTTATACGAATAAATAAACCCGCGTTGTTGCCTAAACATCCTATCAATGAACTTAAAACAGAAATTAAATAGAAAATCGAAATATCTCAATTTATAAAACCTAGCTAGAATATTCGTGTTCATATTGATTTTATACTCTTTGTTCCTGCACATAACATAGATGTGAATTCCTGGAGGTTACAGATTAAGTCTTTCTCTATCCAGGAGCTGAACTGCCAGCCACTGAGAATAACCTATTGCAATGCTTAAAGCCCTTCAGTTATCTTGGCTTCTGAAAATATAAATGAGCTCGTTATCTTCACTTTTCTTTTTATTAGTGTAAGGTTCCTTATCACTATCTATTAAATACCCTTCAGGAGCTGTTATCACAGAAATTAAGGGTGAGGAGGGCCATGATTTCTGTAATAACACAGGTATGTTTTCAAAGTACATTGTTTACAAGATGGTACTTTTCTCCCTAGCTAACAAAAATTTTAGGAAAGAAAACCTTAAAATTTTAATAATTCCCTTCTCTTTCTTCCTTCCTCTTCCCCTTCACTCCATTCCAAAACAACAGAAGAGCCAAAACCAAAGATATGATTACTTTATATACTTCATTAAATTAGTGAAAAAACGAATCACCGTCTTTTTATCAAAACAAAATAGTTGATTACGATACGTTTGCATACTGTAACCACCGCATGTGTGATACACATTTAAATCAAGTTTCAACGCTGTTACAAAGCCTTTGTCAACAGTGGGCAAGTGGGGGAAAGCTGAAGGGCTCTGTGGAATGAAGGAAATCACTAGAGGGGCTTATCTGGGAAGAGAAGGATTCCTTGGTGAGAGGTGAGCAGAGAGAAACAAGACCTAACCTTGGCGAGGGGGCGCTCGCCCAGGGTGGGAACCAGAGGTCAGGGTGAGCGGGAGGAGGGGATTAGCGCGGAACCGCCGCGACCCCAGACTACCCTTACACCCCGACTCCCCCACCTGCGGCTCGCCCTCCCACCACCATTCCCCAGCCCCGACCGGCTGTGCCGTCCCTCCCGGTCCGCCGCCCGCATATCCGTTACTCCGGCGGCAGCGGGGCTGCGGGGGAGGGGAAGGTCAGCGGGGCCCGGAGGGGGCCGGCCGCGGCGGGGATGCCGCAGTGGCTCCCCGCCGCACCGGGTCAAAGTCCGCGGGGAAGCAGCAGGAGCGGAAGGCGGCGGTGGAGGTCGGGACTGGCGAGATGGTGGCCCCTCCGAGTCCTCCCACTACCCGGCCGCTGCCGGTACCTCATACTGGATGTATTGCTTCCTCCACTCGGGAGTGATGTGCGCGGAGAGGTGCTCGGCGAACTTCATCCTGCCGTCTCCCCCTCACTCCCACTCGGATCCAGCAGTTACAGGCGGCGGCGGCGGCGGCAACAGCGACTCCGACTCCTCCCCACATGGGCCCCGGCGCGGCGCGGCGATGCGCTTCTCTCCTCCTCCGCCGCCGCCGAGGTCTCCTCAGAGCCGCCCTCCCGCCATCTTCCTCCTCCTCTCCATAGCCCCGCCCCGCCCCGCCCTCTATACGTCATCGCCATGGTAACCGCCTACGCGCACCGACGAAGGGGGCGGAGTAAGGGGCGGGCTTTGTGTACATTTCTCAAGTCTCCGCCCCTTCTGGGCCGGACGTGCTGAAGGCACCTCCCCTGACCTCTTACGTCTGGCGCCTGTGGGCCTTACAGCTGCTCTTTACCGCCAGCCTGGGAAGCAGCAGTGCTGTTATTGCAATTAATATTAATACTGTAGCAACAATAATCCACACAATACGTTTATATTTTCAAAGATTTGTGCAGGGCTTCTGTGGTGGCGCAGTGGTTAAGAATCTGCCTGCCAATTCAGGAGACACATGTTCGAGCCCTGGTCCAGGAAAATCTCCAAAGCTCAGAGCAGCTAAGCCAGTGGGCGGCAACTACTGAGCCTGCGTGCCACAACTACTGAAGCCTATGCACCTAGAGCCTGTGCTCTGCAACAAGAGAAGCCACCACAATGAGAAGCCCACGCACCACACGAAGAGTAGCACCCGCTCGCCACAACTGGAGAAAGCAGCAACCAAGACAACCAAAAATAAATAAAATAAATAACTATATTAAAAAAAAAAAGATTTGTGCAAACGTTTTTCCATTTTGATATTTATTCTTCATAAAACCCTCAATGATGGATCAACATTAATCCAAACTGAGTAACTAAAACAGACTAAATAGTTAACGGCCACATGTATTTAAAGGAATCCTATTTTACATGCTCTAGGTGCTCAATAAATGCTTGTTGAATTTAATTAAAGAGGTCAGTGCCAAGAATTGCATGCTGCTTCTGAATTTCAATGTAATTATCTAGTCCCGGGGCTACCAGAAAGGCCAGCAACAACACCTGGGCCCAAACCAGGATTGTGGGTACCAGCTGGACTTGTGACTGAGCTTCCTGGAGATTAGGAGTGGGGTTGAAAGGGTAACCAATGTTGGGAGGAAAGAGAATCCTCTAGAGTTACGGTTGGATCCCTACCCTCAGGGAGACCAGACATGGATCCAGCATCCAGGCTGACTGTCCTCGAGGAGAATGGAGAATAGATCACACACACAGCTTGGCACTACTTTGAACGTGGGAGTGATTGTCCTGGAGGACCTGATTTGGGACACTAACCAAGGTCCTTCCCTGAGTAGAGGAGCCCTGGATAATAATAACTAACATTTATTAAGCACTCACTGTCCATGTAACAAACATTATTCTAAACCCCTTATACGTACAGTACCTTGTCCTTTAATTCTCACAATTTTGAGGATGTCCAAAGACTAGGGGACAACCATGACCGAGACTGTACTCTTAGTTATCAACATCTACTGTTGGCTTTTTTTTTTTTCCATGTGTTTTTTCCCCTTTCCCCTTCCTCTTAATTCATGCCAGTAGGGATTCTGCAATTATTTCCTCAGGACAGGGGTGATGCATGATGGAAAACAGGCATAGGCTATGAGTCTTTCTGACTTTTATTGTACAAAAAAGCCTCAACCTTGGGTGAAAGGGTAATCAGGGTCAAAAAAAGAAGAAGAATAGGAGAAGGAGTGAGGACTCCTCTCAGCTCAGCGCTATACCCTGCTGCCCTCCATAACAATTCCCCTCTACTGGAGGTAAAGGTTGTCAGGAGAAAAAAGACAGCAAGAGAGGGCTAGGCTCCCAGGAAGGAGGCACAACCACAGAGAGAAAATAACTGCATGGTGTGCCTAGGAAGACAGAACCAGGAGCAGCTGCAAAAGAGATTGCTGGGCCTTTACCAAGTATAGACTAGAATGGTAGACTCTTTTTTTTTAAATTGAAGTAGAGTTGATTTACAATGTTTCAGGTGTACAGCAAAGTGATTCAGATGCAGATATAGATATAGATATCTTCTTTTTCAGATTCTTTTCCATTATAGGTTATAGTAAGCTATTGAATATAGTTCCCTGTGCTATACAGTAGGTCCTTGTTTATCTGTTTTATGTATAGTAGTGTGTATCTGTTAATCCCAAATCCCTAATTTATCCCTCCACCCGTTTCCCCTTTGGTTATATAAGTTTGTTTTCTACGTCTGTGAGTCTATTTCAGTTTTGTAAATAAGTTCCTTTGTATCATTTTTTTAGATTCTGCATATAAGTGATATCATATGGTATTTGTCTTTCTCTGTCTGACTTACTTCACTTCGTGTGATAATCTCTAGCTCCATCCATGTTGCTGCAAATGGCATTATTTCATTCTTTTTTATGGCTGAGTAATATTCCATTATATATATATATATATATATATATATATATATACACACACACACACACACACCACATCTTTATTCATCTGTTGATGGACATTTAGGTTGCTTCCATGTCTCGATAATTGTAAATAGTGCTGCTGGGAACATTGGGGTGCATGTATCTTTTAAAATTATGGTTTTCTCCAGATATATGCCCAGGAGTGGGAAATGGTATTACAGGATCATATGGTAGCTCTATTTTTAGTTTTTTAAGGAACCTCCGTACTGTTCTCCATAGTGGCTGCACCAGTTTACATTCCCACCAACAGTGTAGGAGGGTTCTCTTTACTCCACACCCTCTCCAGCAGTTATTATTTGTAGACTCTTTGATGATGGAAGAATGGTAGACTCTTGGCAGCAACTCCTGTAGACCGTGGCATCCAGCTCCCAACAGCACCATACCTTGGTACCTTAACTGTGCGCAAGATTCTGGAACCATGACTCAACCCAGAGAAGACAGGAAATCCTCAATACTGTTACCAATAATTCTTAATTTTTCTTATGCTGGATCCAGAGCCCCAAGACTCAGTTGGACCTGAAAATCTTAGTTTATCTACAGAATTAAATTCAGTAATAAGTTTCCTATTCCTAGCATTACTTCAGATAGTTCACTGACAGAACAATCAAATACTTAGTATTTATTGAAAACCTACTTTCTACAGAGTACTGTGCTAAGGTACTAAGAATGATAATCTGAAGTTTTAGTCTGAATCAGAAGTAACTCTTACACTTTCTTTTGTAAATAGGCAAATAACTCTTCATTCATCAAAATTTTACTGAACACTATGATATGCCAGCCATGCCACTTTGGGAATGAAGGACAGTTCAAAAATAGGGCTTCCCTGGTGATGCAGTGGTTAAGAATCCGCCAGCCAATGCAGGGGACATGGGTTCAAGCCCTGGTCCGGGAAGATCCCACATGCTGCAGAGCAACTAAGCCCCTGCGCCACAACTACTGAGCCTGCGCTCTAGAGTCCGTGCTCTACAACAAGAGAAGCCACTGCAATGAGAAGCCTGCGCACCACAACCAATAGTAGCCCCCGCTCACCGCAACTAGAGAAAGCCCACAAGCAGCAACAAAGACCCAATGCAGCCAAAAATAAATAAATAAATAAATAAATTTATAAAAATAAATAAATAAATAAGACTCTGTCTTTTCCTTGGAGGACATCAAAATCCAGTCAGATAGACAGGCAGATAGGTCAATATCTAGATTACAATGTGATATGCACTGTAACTGAGGTATCTACAAGGACACATTCAGCTGACTAGGAAGGGAAGGAGGGTATCCCAGAAAAAGTGGCTTTCAAATACAGTCTTAAACAACTATCTGACAGGGAGAAAGACACCTCCAAAGATCTCAAAGGCAAAAAGCAAAGAGAATTCAGCGCTGTTAGAGAATGGCAAGAAGTTGTCTGACCAGAATATCCTTTAAGGCAGCTAAATGCCCCTGCCTCAAAGAAACTGTCCCCATCCCCTTACCTCCCTTACCCATTCTGGCTCCCGCATCCCCCTGGCACACTCTCCTCACTGTATTGTCAATAACAATTTGCGTCAGACTATGAGCTCCTTGAAGACAAATTGCTCTTTTCTCTCGTTTTCTCTAATTTAGCGTGGTGCCTGGCATTCAAGCATTCAATAAATGTTGACGAAGAAAAGAAAGAAGGAAGGAAAGAAGGGAAGGAGAGAAGGAAAGAGGAAGGAAAGGACAGCCACATAGAGGGAAGTTGCAGGAAATAAAGTTTAGTTGGAATAAAATTGTAAAGGAATAGATCATGACAGCATAGGCAGTGCGGGATCTCTGAAGTCTATGCAGTGACTAACTCTGCCTTGGGAAAGCAGTGTAGTATGGCTTCCTGGTTTTGAACTATGGCTCTGGGAATAGACAGACCTGAATTAAAATCCCAACTCTGGCATTCATAGTGTGTGACTTTGGGCCAAGTACATTAGTGCTTAATGCCTCAGTTTCCTTATCTCTCAAATGGGAATAATAGCACTTCCCTGACAGGTAGTTATGAAGATTAAATGAAATTCTGTACATAAAGCACTTAGCATAATGACTGACCTCTGGTTGACCACTCAGTAACTGGCAGCCCCTCGAAAACCTCTGTTAGCGGTGTGAAGGATGGACTAGAGTAGGGACAAACCAGTAACCAATTTACTAACAAGCACCTATGTAGCATTTACTCTGTGACAGACACTGTTCTAAATGCTTCACAAATACAAACTTATTTAATCCCCACAGAGACCCCAGGAGGTAGCTACTATCACTCGTCTCATTTTAGAGGTGAGCAAACTGAGACAGAGCAGTTAAGAATCTTGCTCAAGGTCAACCACTTAGCAAGTAGTAGAGCTGGGTTTAAACCCTGGCAATCCAGCTCCAGAGTCCTTACTCCTAACCACCATGTTATGTTGACTGTTGATGCAACAACCCAAGCCAGCCATAGTGATGGACAGAAAGGAGGTGTGATGTGTGACTCTAACCCTAGTGACTGGGTAGATGCTGCTGCCACGAGCTGAGATAAGGAAGTGGAAAGCAGGTTTGGGGCATTGTTGGATGTGTTAAATAGTTAGAATTTGTGAGACACACACTACTCCAGTTGGAAATACAGATCTAGAGCTCTGGAAGAAGAAGGTAGCGCTGAAGGCCTGGGGAGCCATTCACCTTTAGATGATGATTAAGTCCTGGTAAGTCTGCCCAGGGAGAGAGTATACACTGAAATGGAAA